TCAAGCCAGCCCTTTTCTTTCTGCTGATTTCAGGGGGGTCGATGTGGCTGGGAATGGTTGGGGAGCTCTGGAGCCTGGCTGCCATAGAGGAAAGCTCTGAGGGATGGAAATCTTTGAGACCCAAGCCCTTCCTCCATCCTTCTGGTGCCAAGCAGGGATGCTTCATTTGTAAATCAATGAGCATCTCCAGCTTTTCCTTTGCTGTACAACAGAGCCCAGCACTGGGCCGCTCCCCACCGCCTGCATCTCTCCTTGCTGCTTATTTCTATGCAAGCGCATGCGCAGCACGTGCCCAGCACACGTGAGCCAGCGCCTGAGGAGCCAAACTAATGCCTGGTCACCTCTGAGGGCTGCACAACGTTGAGCAGGAGATGTCAAAAGCAAACAATTTAAAGCAACAGATTTAATTAAAACCAAAATGAGAAGTTGTTGCGAGTCCAACAATTGCAGTCTACAGAGCTCAGCCAATCTTTGGGGAAAATTAGCAGAAGCTGCTAATAGCAGCATCCAATTCCACCGGTGTCTTGGAGGAAACAGTCGTAGGGGGAAGGAAACAAATAATCTTCAGATGAAACAATTACTGATCAGCTGTGTGACAACCGCACACCATCATCACTCAGGCGGGCAGATGCAGATGCATGAAAGCTTGGGAAAAATGCCCCAAAAGCTCAGCTTCTTCCAGCTCTGCCCCCTTGCTAGCCCCTCACGCCTAAAGTACTGGCTCGCTTTGCACGGCTGCCAGAGAGCACCAGGAAGCAGCAGTGCTTCAGCCTACCCGTGGGGGCTGTTCCCAGGGATGCTCGGTTTATTTTCCTTCCACCTCGCTTGCAGGGCTGGCCGGAGGAGCTGGTGCTCATCCCGTGGGATGCCCCCACACCTGCAGCTGGGCTGCAGCTGCAGGAACACCGGTGCTCTGAGCCAAGCCCTCTGCGAGCATCCCAGCTGCTCAGGCCATGCCTCTGCTCACTGCTTTTTGGAAACCAGCCTGACCCAAGCTCTGAGCTGTCCCTGACAGAGGCAGCACCACGTTTTCCCTGGCACACATCTCCAAAGAGGCAGAAAGAAGGCTGCAAATGCCCAGAGATGCCTCTGAAGCACCAGAAGCCTGGTTTATGTCCTTTACTTTATTTCCACTTATAAAACGAAGCCCTACAAGCCCCTGGTTAAGCGTAGCTCTTCCTTCCTTCTGCACGCCATGGAGGACCTCGCCTACCTCTCCCACTAAAGTATCCCGATACAAACATCCACCAACACCATATATAACCTCTTTGCAGGCTATAAAAATGGGAAGCTTTAATTGATACTATATTTCAAACTGTTGTGCAGCAAGGACATACTCCAGGCTAAGTCCTCTAGGGTATCTTTCTCCAGCCCTGCTTTCCCTGCAAGCAGCTCCCATTGCTCCCTCTCTACTTTTTGAGTGATTACTTACAAGAGAAAAACCCTCCTGAATGCGCAGAGCTGAGTGGCTAACATATTCATAAGGGGTTTTATTGCTCAGATGGAGGGACTCTCTTTTCTTTTTCCCCCCTTTGATGCTGCTAAATGTTCCTCTAAATAATGCTTTGCATTTCCAAGTCCTCATAAAAGCCACCGCAAGCCTTCCTATAAATTCAAGCCTGCTCTGAACCGGGCATGATGCCTGCTGCTGGGTGCAGGCGAGTTCCTGACACAATTTCTGTGCCCTGGGGCAGTGGCAGAAGGGAGCAGAGGCTGCTCGAGCCATTTGGGGAGGAACCAGAAAGGAGCTGGAGGCCTCCCTGCCCTCCCGGTGTAATGCAACCCCCTGCAGCACCGAGGGCAGGGACAAAGCCAGTGCCTTCCTCAGCCCCATGCCAACCCCACAAGACCCGTGCAGCAAAGGAGGCTCCTTGCAGAGCAGCACGAGAGAGGATTTACAGGTACAGATGTGTTTGTCACAGGGGAGACCCCCAGCCTCCCCCTGGCAGCCGGGGCAGCAGAGAGCAGCGCAGCTCGTGCCAGGCTCCTGTGCAGGTGGCTCCGGGGGAAATGAAGGAAGAGCAGCTGTGCAAACCAGTCAGTAATTGTTCAGAGAGGAGCGAAACGGGGGGAGAACCCATCAAATGAGCACAAGGAAGAAAATGAACCAAGAGAGGGAAACAAGGGCAGCAGAGACGGGCTGGTTATTAATACTGCTGGTGGTAATCTGCTCTCCCACCCCAGCTGGCTTCTTGTCCCAGCCCTTCCCCTGCTCTCTCCCATTCTGCACCTCTAACAGGCTCAGAAGCTTCGTTTTCCAGCACCACTGCTTGTTGCAGGGGGGAAGCTGCTCTCCCCTGGGGCTGGAGATGTTTGGTGGGGATCCTCCCCCCCTCTTTTCCCCAACTTGCTTTAGGATCCTGGCGCACCAGAGCTGGCTCACATCTATCTCCTTCACAGATGAGTCTCACAGCAGAGGGATTGCTTTCAGCCTCTGCCTTTGTTTGTCTTTTCCTGTAGAGGTGTTGGTAGCTTCTCTGTTTTAAGATTTTCCTCGGCTACTTGGCATCTGTTGCAATCCTGCGCATCAAACGGGAATTGGAGGGCACCCTCCTCTTGTGCGGGAGCATCTCCCACAAATGCACCTTCCCCGCCCGCTCACACAGCCTGCCTTATCGTCACACGACATACAAAGGAGAGCAGCTTAAGGATGCAGACTGGTGAAGTGCACGGCAACATTAACGAGACGTTGGGTGCCGTGCGAGCAGCTGCTGTAAGACGGATCAAAGCTCCCAGCCCCATCTGGGCCAATGTAATCAGCTCTGCCGCCGCTCCGCTCACGTGGCAATAACCATGCCAGCACCCTCGCCACCCCTCTCCCACCCCCCAGCCCTGATATTTGGCAAAAAGCAGCATTAAGAGCTGGAAATGAACCCAGTAAGTCAGGAGCAGGTCCCCCCTTTGCCACCAGTGTAGGACTCCTGGGTGACAAGCTACACGCCACCTCCCCAAACACGGCCAGCAATGCTTTCCTGGGTGCCATAAAGATTTCCAAGCCCAGCTCAGTTCAGTGTTGCCTTTAAACGTTTCCTAGCATTTTGCTGCCAGTTTGGTGCTGCCTTGGGATTTGCTGTTAATCAACTAGAAGGGACAACTATAAGAGCTTTCCTCTCCCCCGGCAATGGACTCCGCCATCACATAAAACGATGAGATTTCAGTAAAACTGATAGCCACTGCAAAATGTCTTTGCTGCTTCTGTATGAAGAATTTGACTGTTTCCCATAAAAATATTTAAAAAGTTTTTGCAGTTTGTAATTATATTTTACAGTTTCATTACAAAGCTCATTTTAATTCTTTGCCAAACCGTTTTTACCAGTCCTCTTGCCACTTTCTCTTTAAAGAATTCATTAAGTTGGAACTGGAGATCATCCCATTTCCCCCAGTTTCAACGATATTAATCTATTTTATTGGTATTTCATTGTCATTTCCATTCGAGTGTTCTCCGTATTTGCATAATTTGCATTGCCACCCCCTTCCTGGTGAAAAGCACGGACTCATCTTTCCTCTTTATCTCTACAGAGTCGCATTACGTTTTGTTTTATTTTAGTTTTTGAGGACACAAGCCTTCTGTGGGCCAGAGGCTCTGCAGGATGCTGGAGCCTATTTCCACCACTGCCTTCCCCCTGGCCTTCAGCACGGCTCCTGTGCTCTCCCTCTCTTCTTGAGGCTGGTTTTGGGCAGGGGACAGTGCGTCCCTCCCAGCCTAAGCGATAACCTGGCCGGTGCCCCGAGGGTCAGCGAGCTGATACTGGGGCAGCCTCATTTCCCCAAAGCAAAATGAGTTTCTGTTCTCCTGATTGTTCAGAATAAAAATCTGTGAAACTACAGAATATTTATGTGCAGCCTGGGCAGTACTTAATGCCTTTCAGAAGCAGGTCAAGGCGTAGCCAAGTCCCTTATTTCAAGTTATGCCCTTTTTCAGCTCTGCACTCCTCTAACGCTCCGTTCCCCCAATCTGAGGCCACAAAGCAGACACTCTCCTCCTCTTTTTCTTAATAACCAAGCTTTAGCCATTAAGGCAGCCTCCAGCCCCTGAGATTGGACTGCAATTTCCAGAGCCAGCGGCTAAGAAGCTTCCTCAGGGGGCAGAGCAGCAGCAGCCTTCCCACCAGCACAGGGCACCAGCCCGCTGGCCGCACGCAGCACCCATCCCAAAAGCATCGTTACGGGTGCAGACACACGTGCGTGGTGAGGCTCTGTGCTGGGACTGAAGAACCCACTCTCATCAAGGCTGAAAACCATTTAAAACAGACTGGGGAATCCCTCTGTGTCACGGGGGGATGCTTTAAGCCCTGCTCTTCCACACTGCTGCACCTCATTAAGCATCTAACTCTCCCCACTAAGATCACACCCCCAGGGGACACGCTGCATCCCAACCCCAATGGGTGGACGGGAAGCAGCAGCGGGCTGGGAGCACCACAGTCCTGGCAGGGAGAAGGTGTACCCTCAGCACGCCCCGAGCAGTCAGGCGAGCACAGGAGCTGAGGAATTGGAACTGACTGAATAATGGGTCCCATCGGCTGGAAGAAAATGAAATTTGCCCTCGTGTTACTGAAAACTTGCACTTGACGCTCACTGCACATTATAAAGAAAAGGTCAGTGAAACACAACAAATGCAAGGAGCCCAGTCGGAGAAAGCAATAAATAGTGACAGCAGCCCTTGTCTAATTTTTCAAAGCATCTCTGCCTGTGCTCAAATGCTACCAATTTCACTCTGCACTGCTGCAAGGGGCTGGGACAAACGGATCAGCTGCTGCAGGACAGGAGCATGCATAAGCAGGCTCCCGGGGCTCATCAGTGAGTCCCGATGAGAACAGGAATATCCATCAGATATGTTCAGTGATAACAACAAAGGTGCAATCGAGAAGAGGAAAGTTTACCCCCATGGTGTGGTCCTCTAGAGATGCCTGCTAAGGTGCTGACTCAGGGAGGCTTTACGTAAGCTATAAAGAGAGCGGCTGCTGTGGGGTGAAGGGGATCTGATGCCCATGGGGTCTTACCATCGGCGATGAAGTGCTCGGGTACATGAAGTGTCACCTTTACAGTCAGCGGGCAGGAGAGCTGGGAGCCGCACACCATGGCAAGAATGCAGGAGCTGACCGCAATGAGGGTCAGGGCTGTCTTGTTGATGGGGCTTTTCATCGAACCTGGAAGGCAAAGAGAGTGGTGGGTGCTGCGGGAGGGACCCGCCTCGGCACCCCCACCCCGAAAGGCCCCCCCAGCTTGCTCTGCTTCCCCCTGCCCCGTGAAGACCAGAGCTCCTGGATCCTTCACACCCTATTCTTCCCAGCACGGTTTGCTCATGGTCCTGCAGGCTCCTGCAGCCAAGCCCCAGGCAGTGTTCAGCAGCCGAGGTTTATGTGGCAAATTTTATCAAGTCACAAAAACAATCAAGCCAAATCCGAGGGCTGCCGGTACCATGGCATCATTTACTCTTGCTTAACACCAGGAGAAATCTATGTCTACAAATTTTATATAGCATTGCTGAGTGTTAATTATTTATACAAATATGTATAAAGATTCAGTCATCACGCAGGGACTATGATGAACAACAAAGCAACCTACAGAGCCAGCCGCTTACAGGCAGCAGAGATTACAAGAGAAGTTGCATTTTGTCAGTCACAGAAGCTTACGGTACCTTCAAAAAAAGCAGCTCACAAAAGATTTTGTTCCAGGTGCCAACTCAACACTTTCCAACGCTAAGAGGGGCTTCTGAAGCCAGCACCTGGACGGGACGTGGGTCGCCTGTCCCCAGCTCCATGGCCATGTGCTGGACACGTAGGGTAGGGGATGTCTGCACGGAGTAGCCATCAGCTGGGGACATCCCATCGTCCTGCTCCTCCCCTGCTGCTCTGTGCAGACCTGCACGCACAGACAGCCCTGTTTGGCACCTTGTGTTTTATTCTTTCTTTTTCCTTTCTTTCTTTTTCATTTTTCTCTCTTTCTTTCTTTCTTTCCTTCTTTCTTATTTATTTTTAAGCAAATGGAGTTATAAAATCATAGAATAGGGACAACTAAGGATGCAACAAGGAGACTAGGAAGCACCAAAAAGGACTTTATGTCTTGGAAAGATGCTGAAGGGATCAAGCCTTGTTCTGACTATAGGAAGCATCATGCTCACAGGCTCTGCTCCTCCCGAGGGATTTCAACCACCTGGACGTCTGCTGGGAAAGCCACGTGGCAGGCAGTAAGCAACCCAGGAGCCTCCTGGTGTCCATAGAGGACAACTTCCCTGTCCAGACATTAGACAAACCAACCAGAGGAGAAGCGTTACTGGACCTGGTGCTCACCAACGCGGAAGAACTTGTTAGCAAAGTTAAAACTGGGGGAAGCCTAGGTTGCAGTGACCATGCCCTGGTTGAGTTTGTGATCTCAAGGGATACGGGCCTGGCTGAGAGCAAAGACTCTGAACTTCAGAAGAGCCAGCTTCCAGCTGAATTAGTGGCTAAGATCCCATAGGACACAGTCCTTAGGGACAGAGGATCTGATCAGAGCTGGATCTCTTTAAGGATGTTTTCCTTGGAGCACAAGAGCTCTCTTTCCCTTATGCAATAAATCAAGAAGGGAAGGTAGGAAACCGGCATGGTTGAATAAGGTCCTGCTGCTCAAACTTAGGCAAAAGAAGGAAATGCACAATTAGTGGAAACGGGGCCATGTGCCCTAGGAAGAGCACAGAAACGCTGTCTGGATGTGCAGGGATGGGATCAGGAAAGCCAAGGCACTGACAGAACTAAACTTGGAGAGGGAGGCAAAGAATAACAAGAAGGGGCTCTACAGGTACATTGGCCACAAAAGAAACACCAGGGAGAGCGTAGCGCCTCTGACAAATCGAGATGGAGAACTGGTAATGACACATGTGGAGAAGGCAGAAGTACTTAACAACTTCTTTGCCTCGGTCTTCACTAGTGGTCAGGCTTCTCTCATGTCCCCAAACCTCTGGGGAGGGGCTGGGGGAGCAGAGTCCCCCCACTGTAAGCGAAGAGGAACTTCATAACCTCCTGACGCTACTTAACTACAGGTCTATGGATCCTGACGACATGCACCCCAGGGTCCTGAGGGAATTGGCTGATGTAGCCACCAAGCCACTCTCCATCATATTTGAAAAATGGTGGCAGTCAGGTGAAGTCCCTAGTGACTGGAAAAAGGGAAACATCTCTGCCAGTTTTAAAAAGTGTAGAAAGGAAGACCTGGGAACTACAGACCAGTGAGCCTCACCTCTGTACCTGGCACGATCACGGAACGAATCCTCCTGGAGGCAATGTTAAGGCACATGCAGGACAAGGAGGTGATCTGGGACAACCAGCACGGCTTCGCCAAGCACAAATCATGCCTGACCCATCTGTTGGCTTTCTGTGATGGAGTAACTGCATCAGTCACCAAGGGAAGACTGATGTCATCTACCTGGACTTCTTTAAGGCCTTTGACACGGTCCCACATCACATCCTAATCCCTAAATTGGAAACATATGGATTTGAAGGATGGACCATCTGATGGATAAGGAATTGGCTCAATGGCCACACCCAGGATGGTCAATGGCTCCGTGTCCAAGTGGAGGCCGGTGACAAGCAGTGTCTTAAGACGAGCAGTGACTTAATTGCATTGTTCCTAGCCCTGATAGTTCTCATTGAACACAACCAGAGTGAGGGCGTGCTACGTTGGTGGTGAATCCGTGACTGTGATGGTTCGGTACCCTCAATCTGACCGGACCCATATTGGTAAATACGTTATTGGTGAACCTGTGACTGAATCCAACCAGACCCATAATGGTTAATCAGCTACACCCGTTAACACGACAGCTGGAAAAGACCTCCACGATCACCAAGCCCGGTCATCAGCCTGACCTACTGAGTCCACTCACTAAACCTCATTCAAAACATCCCTTGAATACCTCCAGGATGGGGACTTCACCATGTCCCTGGGCAGCGCATTCCAGTGCTTGACCACCCTCTCCACGAAGAAATTCTTCCTGATATACAATCTAAACCTCCCCTGCTGCAACTTCAGACTGTTTCCTTATATGCTGTCACTTGTCACCTGAGAAAAGAGACCGACACCTTCCTTGCTGAAACACCCTTTCAGGTAGTTGCAGGGAATTCAAGTAAAAGCCAAAAAATAACTCAGACTTCAGCAGGTCTAGAGTCACAAACTCACCAGTGGCATTAGGATGGCTGAATCAGGTCATCTGCAGTGTAGGGGGACAGACCAACCCCAGACGACGAGGGGAAAGGATGTGAGAGTGGGCAATGAAGAAATGTTTGGCAAAGACCTGGCTGCCCCACGAGATGCAGATGCTCTTGTTCAGTGCAGGCCAGGAGCAAGCATGAGCCACCCTCTGATGATGGAGAGAACCAGGAGAAACCATCCCCTGGCCTCTGCTACCCCATCTGTGGGTCCCCACGGCCCACGCAGGGGCAGTCCCAGCACCCTGAGCCTAGGAGCTGCATGTTGTTCTCCCCAGCCTGGCCCCTCCATCAGCATCATGTACCAGGATTGCACCAAGCACCTCGCCCTCCAGCTCTGCAACTCCTGAAAACTATTTGGGGAACACAGAAATGCCAACCAGAGGGCAGGGACCAGCACTACACCCAGCTGCTGCACAGGCTGTTACAGTGCAGCCAAGATGTCCCAGCTGCTGGCAGACCTGTCCGTGTGCCTGCCGAGGATTCAGGCAAGGACATGTCTTTATTTTTGGAACGTGATCCAGCTCCCCCCTCCTTGCTCTCTGCCATCATTATTTCATCAGCGAAGAGAGATTTAAAAAGCATCAGCTTAAAAATTGAATGGGAAATGCATCTAGCAAGTTAGCACTCGCGTGTTTCACCCGATAATTTCATCAAACCCACTTAGAGATGCGGGTGTCAGAGCAGGGAACTGGTGTCCAGGCTGGGCCCGACGCACAACCTGAGTTTTCCAGGCCAGCAGTGTGCCCCATCAAAGCCTCCCCTGCAGCAGGAGGGAGCCTGCACCATGGGTGCTCCTCCTGACATTTGCAGGACAAGAGAAGTGGCTGATCTGCTGGGAAACACCCCATCTGCGACCAACAGGAGTATGCAAAATGATTATTTATGAAGCATCTTTCACTTTCCTTATGCATGCATCATCTAAACAGCCTTCCCACCTCTCTTTCACAGCTTTATCACCCATCTCCTGTGCCCTCCACCTTGCCATGCCCCTTTTTCCTTTCCAGTCTATTCCTATCATTAGCGTAAGTTAGCACCTCCAAACTCATCCTCTTGCAGGGCATGCTGTGCCTGCCACAAACCCTTCTTTTGGTTGGCATTGCTAAACTAATGCAAAAAGAGAAAAGAAAAAAAAAAAAGATGGAGAAAACCTGCCATTGAGATAATTGGACACAGTCAAGTACACAATAGAGCAGAGAACACTGGATTTTACCATTATAAATCACCTTTCAATCCAGGGTCTTAAAGTGCTTTGCAAACATTATATCACAAATCCCTTATGAGTTAGGCAAGCATTATCCCCTTTTTACAAAGAGCCTGAATCACAGGTACGACAGCAGCCTTCACCACCCTGCAGCAGAAGCCGAGCTGGGATTAGGGTCTGGGGGCTCCCATCCCCATCTCCTCCCCATCACTTCTCTCTCTGTGACTAAGAGGAAAGGTGCACAGGGGCCTGAAACAGCAAAAAGCCTCTTACAGCTCAATGAGTTTGAGCTTGGTTGCCCAAGGGAAGGGACAACGTGCTGCAAGTCTCCTCTAACTGCCTTCCCCGCTTCTCTGCCTTCCCCTTCCTGCTCGTTTCCACCACACTGCTAATTGCTGACCTCTAGAACTGCCTGAAGTTGGCTGTCACCAACTGAACCAAATCCAGGGGAATTCTGCTCGAGCAGAAATTCTGTTTCCAGCTCAGCTCTTTATTGCTTACGACCAGTTCCCTGCCAGGCTTGAAGGCAGGCTATTAGGAAAGCAGATCCTTTCCTCCCTCTTTAAACAGAGGTACATTTCTCGATTTCCATCCCCTCGCCTGCCCCTCCGACCACTGACACTCCAGTAGAAGTGTTTGAACACCCATCTGGAGATAAAAAGCTGAGTGCCAGCCCTCTGAAAACGCAGCTGTATTCTTAACAACCCAATGCTAACTAAACAAACCTCAACAGGTTCACCAGGGCTACGTGCTCCTGTTCAAG